AGAGTCCCAGACGGCAAACAGCTCCAAGAACAAATGAAGTGCACACCCAGGAGATGTACCCAAGGCACGGCTGAAGAGTCTGCTTCCAGAGCCACCAGGCAGCCTGACTCCACCCACTGAGAGAGTAGGGTGAGCCCAGTGGCGTCTGGGTGCTGAAGGACATTGTTTCTTCTCCTTCTTCCTCTCCCGGAGGTCCTCTCTACAGCCCTGGGCTCATGCCTAACTCTCAGACAAAGACACTGTAGGCCTTGTCTCCAGCGGTGGTGCTACAGGAAGTGAAGGGTTCCCGGCACAGACAGGTCAACGGTGTCCAGGAAATCCAGCACTAGATTCAAATCATATTAAGTTATGTACACAGAAAAACATTCAAGTCAGTCAATAACCCAGTGAAAAATAAGGGCATATGTGCCTGCCAGATACAAAGTCTGAAGACAGCAGATCCTGCGACTGAGGCACCATTTGAAAAAGGGCAATGGAGTGGCTGAAAGCCAGACTCCAGCATGCTTCCTGCAAGGTCGTTTAGAAGTCAAACTGGATTTAATTGACGTACAATGTTCTTTTGGTTCCATTTTGGAAGCCAGGTGATCACACACTGAGAAGGGATGATAGAGGAGGGAGCTGGCCTAGACTGAAGCAGGATCCCTGGAGCCACACACCCTCACACACTCATATACCCCCCGTGTTGAAGGCTAAAGGCGTTTGTGTACAGAGAGCTGGACCCTAAAGGTGTGGCCACTAACAGCAAAGAAATGTAGACACAGTTATCCTCACATGCAGAGCAAGCCAGAAGGTTTATATCCTTCATATCTGAAGCACAGAAGCCTAAAATGTGAGCATGGCACCCTGGTGGGGTAGTCCACCCAAGCTGAGGTCCTGAGATCCAGTCCAGCAGAGCTACACTAGAAACAAGAGCAGAGGCCATTGCAGTCTTCATAGAGTACTTCTTATGTGCCCAGGGGAGGGTGAAGTGCTTTCCAGACCCTCCCGACAAGAATGAATCCAATCAGACAGCACGAGGGGTGAAAGCCAAAGGGAGAAGGCCTTGTGTGAGAAACACTGTTTGTCAGCTTCTGGTCACTGTGAGAAAATGACTCAGAGGGGAAAGGGTTCATTTCGGCTCACGGTTCCAGGGAGCTCATTCAATAGGTGACGGGCTCTGCTGTTTCTGGACTGTGATGAGGCCGAGCACACGGAGGTGCTGGGACAAGGCAGAGCAACTTTGTTCATACTGTGGTGACCAGCGAGTAGAGAGGGGCAGCAAGGGAAAGTGGACCACTCCAGAGCGTGCCTCCAGGGAACGACTCCCACTCCCTACCACTTCCCAATAATGCCCACAAATCTGCCCACAAATCTACCAGGGGGTTAAGGCATTGGTGAAGGTAGAACCCTCGTGATCCAATCATCTCTCACTAGCATCCCTAGGTGTAAGCGAGACGCACAAGAGACTTTTGCGGGGTGGGGAGATATCTGGTCTACACTGGTAGCGTGCACAAATGTAGTCACAGGAGGGTAGCAAAGTTACCCAGTGGACAGAGAAAGCATGGGCCTTCAAGAGAGGCTCTGGGAACTAAAAAGCTAGCAAGCCTGAAGTGTTCCAACCCGCAGGATAGCAGTCCCATCTTTGTTGTATGATGAACAATATTTAATCAATATTTATTCCGGCATTATTAGCTGTAAGAATGATAATGGAAAAAAGTGTCATGTAAATATAAGGTCTTATTATAGCTAGCAAATTGGATTCCTAAGCTGATTAATTTGAAATCTGTTTGGATTTCTTCTGGATGATATTGCCAAGTTTCTGGGTGTGCAGTTTGAACTGGTGACTTTCGAAATTGATGCTGAGGGCAAGAGACGGTGCTAATTAGTGTGTGAGCTTTTCACATCTGAAAATCTGGGAATGAGTCCTGCTTGGGTCAAAAGTGAAAATGAGCTTGGGTTTGTCACTCTGATCCCTGTTGACATTGTCGTCATCACACAGCTATCATGTTATCTGGCACAGCTTCCAAGCTGTCAGGAGAGCAGCACCCCAAGGCTGCTGGGCATGGCGGCAGATCCCGGCCACAACGTAACAGGGAGGGGAGTTTCCAGAAAGCTGTCTCCATACCACGCAGGTGGCACAAGCAGGAGCTTTGGCTATTTGATATCACGTGTAATAAATTCACATTAACTGATTTTAAAGGGAAAAATAAAGAGACTTGTGTTCTGTTTCACTGATTGTGCTCCACAACTTCAAGCCTCATAAGCATATAAATTATCTGATCTAGTAGAATAAAGCGCCATGCAGCACAGCCCATCAGCTCCATGATGGTCCACATGGCCACATAGTACATGATAGGGTGGAAAAATATGGCAACAGGGTCCCATTCATTACAGCAGTCCCGAGTGGGGTCCCTGAAGTCAGAATTCCGGTGGCAAGTGGGATTTGGGACTAGAAATGGATGATAGGCAGGTCATTATAAGAAGGATACCCACTCTCAAGTTCATTCATTCATCCAATTACACACCTGTTGGTTGAACTAAGATTACCTGGGACAAACACCAGGATGCCAACTAGAGTTTCCTAGGACCATCCTCAATGCACAGAGTCTAAGCTCCCAACAACCTCACAAAGACAGTGAGATGTGTTCCAGTAGGGTGTTGGGCCAAGCATGCCACCCAATGGCAGGCACAGACCCCATCATGGCTGGAAATGTCGACAGGGAGACCAGAAGCCCACACCTGACTCCACAGAGCACAGGGGTCTTTGACAGCTTTTGACAGCCAATAGGGTGGTCATAAGCCCTTGCCTATCAAGCTGAGTCTTGGGCTAAAGGCAGTGAAATTGTAGCACTAGTGCTTAGGTCTGGACTAAACTAAAGAGAAGAACGAAAGAGATGTAAATGTAGTACACACACAGATTGAGAGAGAGAGACAGAGAGACAGACAGACAGAGAAACAGAGAGACAGAGAGACAGAGACAGACAGAGACAGAGAGACAGAGAGACAGACAGAGACAGACAGACAGACACGGAGCAGAGACGGAGTCAGAGACAGAGAATTGTCCATTGGCTACCTGGGGCACCAAATGGCTTCATCAATATCATTTCCCAGGTCTGAAGGTCATTGGGAGATAAAAACCCTGGGCAGGAAGTGCCACGTAGGCTCTTAGGTGCCAAGAGCCCCAGCTCTGTCCTAGTCATCTGTCAACATGACAGGACGAGAAACAGTTCAGCCACCATGGGAAGAGTGAGATGTTGATAGTGGGGACCAGGTCTCCCCATGGCCTACTGAGGGTGTAGCACCCCACAAGCCTCCTCCAAGCCATAATTCCATTTCATGTCTTTCACATTTAATAGCAAATTTCCAGTTTTATCTTTAAGACACAAGCTACTTATTCTCAATCTGCCGCTCCTCGCACTGCCGTAATCTCGGGACGCTCATGCCAGCCGCCAGCAGGGAGCCCATCACACTCCCAAATCAAGTCCATTTTTCCATTAGCTCACATCCTTCCCGAGGTGGCCTCCTTTCCAGTTGGCTGACCAGCAATCAACACTAGTTTGTTTCCATCAGAACAGCTCCTGTAACTTCTCATTTAAGAGCAGGCCCTCTCAAAGCACATTAGGGAGAGGAGTATGGAGCAACAGTGATTTTAACAATGGGCTGGGCTTTTTTTTTTCCTTAAGAAAAAAAAAAATGTGGCTGAAATCCAAAGGCAAAAGTTCATTTGCTCATCATTCTATGAACTTTGTGGAAGATTAAGCCCATCTTAAGTGCTGATGTGCGTAACATCTCCTTCAGGTTAAGGTGAAAATCTGTAAATACTGTTTTCCATCATGGAAACTAAAAGATGCAGATTTCTTTCCTGACCCGTGGACCAGGTGCCATGTGCACCACTCAAAAAATACAGGAGTCTATGCCAGATCTAAATGTTGAACAATGGTTTCCCTGACATTAGTATCTGGAAGTATTTTTGACAAGGGGAGACTCGAAAATTCTGATGAGCCTTTTGCAGGCAGGGTGCAGTTGGAGGTAGGGGTCATCAGCCACTGCCTCCAGCCATCACTTTCTTTTCTTTCACACAGTTGCTCCCAGGGAAGGCAGGAGCATCCTTGCAAACATTGTTCCCCCACACTGGGTGAACTGACTGAGCACCAGGGACGTTTAAGCACTGCTGTGTCTTGTACATTGTCCGTGCATCTCAACAGGCTTGAAGCAGCATGACCACCACATACCCAAGAATCACATATGTCACTGAGTTGAAGCGACAGCCCAACAACCTCTCACTGGTGTATGATAGTGTCTTTACCCAGAAAGCACTCTGCTACCTTGGCCTGTCTCATAGACCACGATCCTCTGCAAGGAAGCAACTTTTCTCCATTTCTCTCCTCCTTCTCCTCCTCCTCCTGCTGCTCCGCTCCCCTCCTCTGACTAGTGCCTTTCCCCCTCCTCTTCCTCCCCTTCTCCTTCCTCCCCACTCTCCTCTCCTTCCCCTTGTCAGCTCCATCCCTTCTTAGTCTACCATTTTGCTCTTGGACCATAAGTCACCATAGTACGTTTTTTTCAAAAACAAGTAAATGAATGAAATGTCTTAGGACATCATGAGGATCACTTGAGGAACTGAAGACAGACGTGTGACAAAATGAGCTTTGCCTTTCTCCCGAAATCTGGAGGGGGGGGCACATAGACTCCTTTGTTTTTCACTCATCAATGAATCCACAGGACAAACATTACTAAGAATGAACTGTGCTCAGGGCACATGGTGCTAGGCATTACAGTACAGCACTGGTGTAGCAGAAGTCCCCAAAATTCATTAAACCACCAAGGAGAGACACAGACAGAGACTCACTCAGACACTGCCTATGTGAGGCTTTTGCCCATTCGACATGGTGGATGAGTGTAAATTAAAGGTTTCCTGACTGTTCATTGACTGTCACCTACCAACTAGGCATTGCCTGACACATGGGCGTTTCGCTTTACCAAAGCCATTTTGACAGTACATCACCCAGGACACCTACCTGAAACAGACATGACAACAGGCTGTGTGCCACAGTTTCTAAGACAGTACACCTCCTTACAGGAAAAAAATATGAACCATCTTCTGGTCATTCTTCAGACCAGCACTGCCCCCTGACTGAAAATCTTCAAGGAGGAAGTTGAGGACAGGAGCGGCACCAGCATATAGATACTATGGTCCCTTCTCTTCCAGGGTGGGGTTCAGATCTAAAGCAGGGCATGTGCTTTGACCAGCTGACTCAGGATGCTCCAAAGGATACACCAACAAGCTACTGTAGAAAGAAAGAAAGAAAGAAAGAAAGAAAGAAAGAAAGAAAGAAAGAAAGAAAGAAAGAAAGAGCCAGGTGACATGAGAATTTATTAAGAATCTCTTACTGAGCCAAAATTTTTAATTTAATCATTTGCTATCAACCTGAAACATGAAGCATTTGTATACAAAATGACTCTATCAATGTGACCTATGAATGCATGAAGAAGAAATAAACACATGTAGTCATAGAAGAAGCCATTTCATTGAACCCTTACAACCAAAATTCTGAATGAAACAAGATGGAAACCCTTTAAAGAGAGTCTTCCAGTTGAGTCACCACAGCTGAATCTGGGGCTTGGTTTAATTTGGGACCTGGTCCTTACCTGTCTATTGACTGTGAATGAATCGTGGACCATTGGGTGCTTCACTTTCACCCAACATATAAATCTCAGCTTTGCAAACACCCTTGTTCTCTCATGGTGTGCTGTGAAAAGCGGTGAGCTAACACTTCTGAACTAATGGAAAAGCTGGAAGGTGCTGGAGAGGGACAGTATTTTTCAGAGGAAGCTGGAACCCAGGGGTGCCTTAGAGATGGTCTTCAGGTTGTGGTGATATTTTGACTTCCCTCTGGATGCCTGCATCTCCTTGTCTCTGTCTCTCTGTCTCTGTCTCTGTCTCTGTCTCTGTCTCTGTCTCTCTCTCTCTTACATGTATTTTCTCACTTTAACTCTCTCTTTACTATTCTCTCTCTCTCTCTCTCTCTCTCTCTCTCTCTCTCTCTCTCTCTCTCTCTCTCTCCTGTCTTCCCTCTCATGCTTTCTCTCTCTCCCAACCCTGAACAACAAGGAAAAGCTCTGTCCTTACCTATCATTCAGCTCCTCCCAACTCACTCAAACTATTAGCCCCCTGCCTCTGTGGGACCCAGAATGGAGGTTACCTAGTCGAATGTGGCCTCCTTAAACTCCTTCAACCTCTGCATGTTTGCTGACATTGATCCAAAAATCCCCAAATTTATAACCTAAAAGCACCCCAACCTGCAGGACTCTTTATTGAGAAGTTGCTCCTTCAGCAATGCTCTGACCTCCAACATGACTGAAAATAGACCATTGAGGTCATTGGTCCACAAAGAGGACTCCAGAGAGAGGCCTGTGGAGACAAGAATGGAATAGTCATGTGGCCATCACACAGCTTACTGGTACCAAAACAGGGCAAGGATGAAAGACAGAAGCCTCAGAGTCTTTAGTAAAACCCTACAAGTCAGACCCAATTCCTTGAGCTCTGCCAAAAAGAAAAAGAAAAAAACCCAAGGACTTAGTTAAAAAAATATATAGCTCAAGTTAGCATCCAATTGCTTGGGGAATGCAATAATAAGGAAACCAGCTTGCTCTCGGCAAACACAAAACAAGCCTTGCTGTCACTCAGTACATACTGAGTGGTATGTGGGAACAGTAAAGAAGCTCAGCCCCAACCACCTCACACTTTACACCAAGAAACCAGTACTTACTCAGGAATGCCATCATCTCTTATCTCTAAGGTTTCCAGCCAAGAAATAGGGGGTGAATATCCTTCCCAAGTCATTGTCATCTTCTATGCATCAACAATGATCACAAGCCAGGAAGCCTGACTAGCACCAGAAATGATGTCCAACTTGGCCCTCCCCTGCCTGCCTGCCCCTCAGTGGCATCAAGGATGGAACCTGAAAGTTTACCAGAAGTGAATGGGTGGAGCCATGACTGGGGAATCACTAATCCAGGCTTTCCACCCCAATCCTAGGCATGTGGTACCCCGTATAACTTTGATCCACTAACTTAAGCTTGGTCAGAGATGGTAAAGTCAATCAGCCCTGATATCCCAGCCCCATTTCTAGACCCACTGAGTTCTGTATCCTAACAGTGGCTGTAGCCAGGGGATTCCAAGTCAGTGAGCCATTCTTCAGGGCTTGTGCATCAGGCTGAGGGATGTCTCCCTCTGTGGCATCTCCAGATCCCTGTGAAGTCACACTGCTCTGAAAAGCTAAGTGGGGCAATAGATGTTAGCTCAAGTAATTCAAACCATATTTTCGTAAGAAGTTTGCATCAGTGCAGCAGCAAGGACCCAGTTATCTCTGGCCTCTGTAGCTTTCTACGCTTGTCATCCTTACGGATGCTTCTAGAATGAAAGCTTTGTCCCACACAAAGCTTGCTTCTATCATATTGAGTTACCCTTTAAGGCACACAGGTGGACAGAGTGCTTTGAAATGTTTAAATAAAGCTTGCCTGGAATGGCTGAACTATTGCCTAGTCTTTAAGATCAGCACAAATTAAATTCCATTTGTTATAAACAAACACAAAGTCAGGCCAGGTGGCACAGGCCTGTGATCCCAGCTACTAGTGAGAAGGGTATTAAGTTAAGATCTAAGTTAAAGGTCTGCCCAGGATATAGAGTGACTTCCAGGGCTGTTCAATGTCTCCCTGGACTGCAGACTGAGTTCAAATCTTGCCTGGGAAGCTTAATGAGATCCTGACTCAAAAAGAAGGCTGAGGGCAGGGCTGACTGGTAGGCTACTGGTGTAGGAGGCCCTAGATCCAACTGTCAGTATCAGGGTGAGGAAAAAATGGAAGAAAAGAGAGGGGAGGGCAGGGCAGGAGAGGGGAGGTGATGTGAGGAGGGGGAAGGGGAGTAGAAGGTAAACCTGACCATTAGCTGGAGTCAGGCCAACCAGAATCTCATCCCACAGTACTCTGAAGTGGATGTGTAACTCACCTTAGTGGGGTCATTTTTAAAAGTCATTCTGAGGATACCCTCTCAGGATTATTTCTGACAGGAATGGGTTAATTGTGTAACCTTTTCTGCTCTCATTCCAGCCTCTGGGTTGTCAGCAGGGAGATGAACGAGGTGCTAGTTTGCGGTGTTACTGTCTGTTGGACAGTGAGCTGGTTTCAGACACGCTGCCACTTTCCTTGCTGACGTCTCAAAGTTGTCACAAGAATTGATAAATTTCAGAATGTTTTTCTTGCCCTCATTATAATCTTAACATTGCCATGTAAATAAATGGATTTTGTGCGTTCATTGGTTCTCACTGCCTTCATTGGGAGCTATATTTGTTCTTGCTGCTATTTGCTAGAAAGAAGAGGTTCTCCATGGGGAGGGGTGGGTGCTGTCTCAGAAGCATCTTCAGAGCCAAGCGTCCTCTTGAGAGTATAGTACCAGCAAGGACAGGGGTGGGACATTCTGGATTCCTTCTAGTGAAGAATTTCTCACTGTGGTTTTTTAAATGATTTATTTATTTTTATCTGTCTGTGTATGCACCTGCACATGTGCCACAGTGTGTGTGTGTGTGTGTGTGTGTGTGTGTGTGTGTGTGTGTGTGTGTGTGTGTGTAGATCAGAGAATACTTGAAGAGCTGGTTCTCTCCTCTCTCCATGTGGATCCTTGGGATCAAACTCCAGTCATCAGGCTCGATGGTAAGCGCCCATCCCCACTGTGTCAGCTCACCAGCCCGGCTGTGATTTATGGGAAGCAGATGTGCTCATAGGCAGATGACAAGAGGTCTTTGTCTTCGGTAACCATTCTCCACATTGCTTCCTCCTGGGACATAAGGAATGTTCTAGGCTCTAGAGGTCTCTGAAAGGGAACAAATTGGTGATTCAGAAGAAAGTCGTGCAGAGAAAAGTAGTGTGGTTAGCAATGGATGCAAGAGCTTTGTCAGGGCTAACCTGCCAAAAAGCGACACAGTAGGGCCACTGATTGGTGGCTAGGGAGCTGGCTCAGTCACTAAAGTACCTTATGTGAAAGCATGAGGACCTGAGTTTGATCCCCAATACTTACTTAAAAAAAAAACCAACAGTCTGAACATAGTGGCTGGTCGTGTACACTTAAAATCGCAGTGTTGAGGAAGATCCCTGGGGTCATCAGCCAGCAAGCCTAGCCTGACTCAGGAGCTCCAGGCTAATTAGAGACAGTGCCTGAGAAAACAAGGTGAGTGTAGCACCCAGTTAAGACAGGCAAGATTGTCCTCATACACATATATGAGCACAAGTGTGTGCTCACGCACACACACACACACACACACACACACACACACACACACACACACGCAACTACTAAGTGCAGCAGCAAACTTTGGATGTGAAGAGTGAAATGCCATAAATATGTTGCAAGCATCCATGTACTGACTGGGTTTGGTTTTGGTTTTGTCGGGTGTTAATGTCAACCTGACACAAGATAGAGTCATCTGAGAAGAGGGAACCTCAGTTGAGAAAATGCCTCCATAAGATCTTGCTGTAGGCAAGTCTATGGAGTATTTTGGTGGGAGAGGGCAAAGCCCACAGTGAGTGGTGTCAGTCCTGGCAGGGGTTATAGACAGTATAAGAAAGGTAACTGAATGTGAAACTCGTAGCGATCCAATCATGTTCCTCCACGGTTTCTGCTTCAGTTCCTGCTTCAGGTCCCTACCCTGACTTCCCTCAGTGATGGACTGTTACCTGAAAATGTAAGATGAAATAAATCCTTTCCTTCCCAGGATTCCTTTGGTGAGTGTTTTATCACAGAATAGAAATCAAACTAAGAAAATTCAACTCTCCAAAATTCAGTAACTACCATATAAATGCTTGACTTTTCTTAGTGGAAAATTATTTAGGCCACAATAAACTCTAGCTGGATAAGGCAGATGGGACTGTCTTTCTTAGAAGCTAGATGGAAGTCTCAGAGTGGGCACACACAAGTGGGAAATTTTTACTATTGTTATAGGCTCAGGCTTGGCCTGGGATCATTATCTCCAGCATTTGGGACTCACACTATTCCAAAGGTATTTGCAGTCCAGACTAAGCAGAGTACACATGGGGGTGGGGGAGGTGATTCAGTGTTTAAGAGAGAGTGCTATCCAAGCATGAGGACCTAAATTTGGATTCCAGGATGCACATAAATGTCATCTGTGGGGATGTGGCCACGTGTATGCCTGTAACCCCAGCATTGGTGTTGGAAACAGGGGCATCACCAGGGCTTTCTGGCTGCCCTAACTCTGAGTTCAGTGAGAGACCCTGACTCAGAGGAATAAGGTGGAGAGAGACGGAGCAGGACCCTTAACAGCCTGCTCTGGCCTCCATGCCATGCATACCCTACTCACACACATGGGCACAGGCACACACACACACACACACACACACACACACACACACACACACACACATGCACACATGCACACACATAAAACTCACACATACAAATAAAAAATTAAGGTCTACATGCTTATTGGACAGAGACATGCAGAAAAGGGAACAAGAAGGGGTCTGGGGACGGAGTTCAGAGTGGGATTGTCCAGGATGCATTGTATCCATTATATTGATTTCTCTCTGCTCAAATTCAGATCAAGATATCAAATTTTCTTTAATCCCAGCACTCGGGAGGCAGAGGCAGGCGGATCTCTGTGAGTTCGAGGCCAGCCTGGTCTACAGCGCGAGATTCAGGAAAGGCGCAAAGCTACACAGAGAAACCCTGTTTCGAAAAACCAAAAAAAAAGATATCAAATTTTACCTGTGTACCATTTTTTTTTAAATAAAGGGAATCAGTTGATTGACTTGATGAATTATCTTTCAGGAGCTAGATAGAGAAGAACTGTCTGTATAAAATGTGGACGAGGGGGAGGGTGCATTGTGGGGGTATATATTTGTACATATTAAAGAACCTGCGGGCTGCCTGCTGTACACAAACTTCATGTCTTCTGTCAGCAAAAGAAGGAACCATAAATTAGGCTTGTTTTTGAAGGATCAGGCATCTGTGTAAAATTATGACTTAGAAAGGAAATGACTCAAAGCCTCATCACTTCTGATAGAGAAGCAAGATGGGGTATATCCACAGGGTAAAATACTATACAGCCGTAAAAAGGAACAAAGCACTAGTATAAGTATGGACGAATCTCAGAGACAGCGTGCTAATGAAGGAAGCTGGTCACCGCCAACCACAAGCTGCATGATTCCATGTACACAAAATGCTTACCATAGCACGTCTATAAAAAGCAGAAATTGGAGTAGTGATTGCCTAGGGCTGATCGCAAGGAATGACCACCAGTGGGTCTTCTGAGATCATAGAAATGTTCTAAAGTCAGATTTGGGTAGTAATTGTGCAATTATGTAAATTTACTAAATGAATTGACTTGTAATCAAACAGGTAATTGTTCTATGGAGTGTAAATTGTATACTAACAAAGCTGTGTTTTTAATTGGTTAGAGATTCTGAAATATTTTTCCCAAGAAGACCATAGATATAATTAAAGTAGTCTTTAGAGAGGGTTGGGGTAAGATCTGGAATAACGGATGCTTCTGTTCTATTTTATAAACTGAATATCAATAATATTTTCCATGTGAAAACATTGACATCAGAATAAGGGAGCTGTGTCCTCAATGAAACCGAGGACTTTACTGATTAATGATAGAACTTGGGCAAAGGAAGATAAATAATGAGATAACAAAGGATAATGGAATGAAAACTCTCCAACAGTTGAAAAAGCACATGTTACTCTAGCAACTGGCTATGTAGACTCATTGTGTTTAAACTGACCTCAAAACTCTTAAGCTGGGCACCTAGGAATTGAATAAATGTCTGGAATTCTTCTAGGGAAAGGTGCCATTGCTTTTACATGTACAGCTCAGGAGCCAATCAGAAGGTAAACTGAGTCAAATATGAAAACAACAAACCTCTTTTCAGAAATCCCAAGCAAGAAAAGGAAGCTTATTTACATTTAAAGACTTAGCAAAGAAAGCAAAGTATTATTATCTAAAGGAAATAGTAGGGAAGGGAAAGGCAGAGTCTCTCTCTCTCTCTCTCTCTCTCTCTCTCTCTCTCTCTCTCTCTCTCTCTCTCTCTCACACACACACACACACACACACACACACACACACACACACACACACACGACTGATGCTGCTTTGGACACTGTAACAACAGAGATGGTGCTGAGCGGTCCCTGCATCTCCGTCATGCCAGACACCTTTGCTGGGGTCTTGCCCTGGGGACCAGCTTGATAAGGAATGTTGATGGTAAGGAATATGGATTATCACAAGTTAAATACAACAGAATTTTTGGGGGTGTTCTTGTAGGGCAAAGAGGTGTTCGTGGACAGGTACACTTGCAAATTCCAGGAACAAGTTAACTATGGGTCAAGAAAAGGCTGGCTGAACAGTTAGCATCTCACAAGAGGAATCTGGTGGAAGACCCCGCCCCTTCCTAGGGTGTTCTCTGGTTGGCCTCCTTCTGCTGTTGCTACTGCTGCTGAGGTTTATATTGGTGTTTCATTTTATCAGTTTATAAAGTAACATGTTTCCTTACAGCATTTTCATACACACTTAGTTTCGATCGACCTTCCCCTTGTCTCCTCCTCTTCCCCATCTCTCTGCCCCAACCCCTGCTCCTACCCTTCCACATCCAGTATCCCCTTTCGAGTTTCCTATCACAAATGCCCTATTACCCTCCCACCCCTCTCCCTTAAAGCCCCTTTCTATGTAGTTTCCTTGTATTGACATACACTCACTACATTAATATATATATACATATAGTATATGTAATATACTATATATAAGACATATATAATATATACATATAAATGTATAATCCATAATATATATAGTTATATATGTATAAATTTTCTTTGTATGGCGTTCAAGAGAAGGAGTTTAGTTACTAAGGGGTGTGGTTTGGGTGCTTTGCTATTTCAAGTGATGTATTAGGTCATATAATCATTTTTCCTACTTTGCATGTCCTTTCCCATAATGCATCTGGTTTTAATCATATTCACTCTTAATCATGCATAGGCATGAGATGGTAAATTCAGGGCACAATTGGCCTTATTCTCTATGCACCTAAAACAAATTTGGACTGGATTGTCCTTTCCATTCATCCTCCCCAGATGCTTTGGAAACATATTTGAATGGAAACTGAGTTTAATGGAAGTTAGGGGAGACAAAACCAATCCTAGTTTTCAGACAGGAGTGAGACAGAGGTCACTAGCTGTGTTGTTCATTGGGGGTGTGTGTGCACAGTGCATGCAGGAGAAGGAGCTTGGGTGCAAGTGCATTGTTAGAGGGAAGTATAATGCAAAACCAAGCACAGTCCCAGGTAGCTCGGCTATTTTCCTTGCTTCCCTGCCTCATCTGTACCACACTGTCACCACCTATTCATCTATTGATGGACACCTTGGTTGTTTCCATTTCCTGCCTACTGGGAATAAAGCAGCAATGAACATGGATGAGCACGTATTTCCATAGCAGGAAATAGAGTCCTTGGGGTATACGCCCAGGAGTGGTATAGATGGATGGCATGCTAGTTTTAATTTTAGCTTTTCAGCTACTATGGAAAATGC